GGTGTGAATGTGTGCGTGTGCATGATTGTGTGTCTTTGTGTGTCTGCGACCCTGACAAGGACTACCATGTTTATGACTTAGAAATTAAAAACATACGTATACAGCAAATCTTCTCTGTCTCTGTTTTCTCTTTCTATACTTACTGAGACCTTAAAAATATAGAAATTGAAGATTAAAACAAACAGACTGTCTATATTGTAAAACACTTTTAATCTGTATGAGTGGTTTCCAGTTTTTAAGGCACTATTTTTGTTTTAGCAAAAAAGTACGGTGTTACTATTGAAATTAAAAACAGGTTAATATTTAATACATTAAGTACATTATAAATCTTTGATTTATATCTCTCTAACTCCCTACTAATGATATACAAATTTGTACAGTTGTTTTTTTAATATACAATAAATCACATTCTATAGGTCGTATAGCTTTGCTATCTGCCCATTTGTTGTCATGCATGTTAAGGAATTTATTAAAGTTTGCTTTGTGGCTTGAGCAATTCCTTCAGAGCGTCCAGATTTTCACCGTCTGGAGCTTCAGGCCATGAGCTGTGGTCTGCACAAAAAACACACACAAATATCCAGCTTACTATAAAATACAGCGTATCGTTTAAGGCAAAGTAAGAAAGTTAAAGACTAAAGTAAGGCTGTGGTAATAAATGGCAACATACCAGGTATCTCCCACAGGGAATGGTACAGACTCTGTCCTGCATCCACTTTCAGAGTGGCTCCAGAGATGTAGGAGGCCCCAGGAGACAGCAGGAAACAAACAGCGGAAGAAATCTGAGAGATGGAAAAATGGGTCCTTATGTACAGAAGCATATTGCATTCACCTGAAAAAAAAAGACTCGGTCTGTTTTACTGAATGAACCACATATTTTTTTTCCAAATATTAATAAATAAAATCCAGTTAATTTGAATAAACAATATTTCTTTATAGAAATAAACAAACACAATGTAGATATAAAAATAATTGAACTTTATTGGTTTATTGGTTGGAGAAATTTGCCTCTGCATTTTCACCCTCCCAGTTCAGTTCAGTTCAGTAGCTTTTATTTGTCCCAGTATGGGCAATTTCTGTGCAGTAGTAGTAGTACACCTTTCACACACATGTTCACATTTCACAAATCACAGATTAAAAAAATGTGCTCCTACATAGCACACAAGAAACACATAAAAGAGAGAGAAAAATAAAAAATAAAAAGTAAATAAATATGTGCAGTGCAGGGGATGAATGAGAGCATAGGCCTATATGCATGCAACATATGGCTATCTGCTTTTCCTGGTAGAGATTAGCAGCTGAACAGCAAAGGGAATAAAGGAGTGTTTGCATCTGTTGGTCCGAACTGGTGGGTATTTAAAACGGGAACCAGAGGGTAGAAACTGGAATTCGTTATGTAGGGAATGGGTATAATTATCCAAAATGGACTCAGCCTTCCTGATTACCTGATCTTCATACAGTGGGGGAGCATAGGCTGCCATTGTTCAGTTTGTGGAAGTGGGGCTCAAACTCAGAACCTCAGGATTCCAATCCCTATGCCCTAACCACTAGGCCGACACTTAGAAAAAAAAACTAAAATTTTTTTTTCTGAGGCAACAAGATAATGTAAAATAAGCACATAAATAAAAACTTTCTGTTTATCTAAATGAATGTGCCATGAGTAGCACCCAGCGCACAGGTGTCTTCACAAAGTCGAAAAACTAATAGTGATCGCATCTAGTATATAACTAGAAGAGAAGAGAATTTCCCAGAGCGTCAATCCTAAAGAAAGGAACAATTAATTAAACTAAACAAACGGAAATCTTTGAAGCTGATCTGAAGGAAATGCTTATCTTTCTTTATTTTTTTTTTTGTAAAAATGATCTTGCCAATTCAGAAAAACAGACCAATTTTTAATTTTTGCTTGGTGAAAAGAATAAACTTTCTTATTTAAAAATCTAAAGAACCTCTCATAATTTCATA